TCACTGCAATCATTGCACAGCCTTCATTTGCGAAAAGGGTGCTGCGCTTTTCAGACATATTGAAGTAACAACCGAGACGCTTATTCGTGTTAATCTGTACCTGTGGGTACGTTTTGTGCATCCTTTGTGCATGAGAAACGCAGGGCACATTTCGAATCTGCTTGCCATTCTCCAATTTGTTGATATTGCATTCATTGCTTCGGCTTTGCGGCAAAACTGCGACTTTTTTCAGCATTATCCTGAAACAGAGCCATGAAGCCAACTTTTTTATTGAAACCTGCTTCAGAAATACAGTAAATTCTTTAAAAACTTTATATCCAACTACAAGATGTATCGAACCAATATTCAAAAGTTTGATATGAACGGGTTCGACTGAGTACATCTGGTCATTATTTTGAATACCCTTCAACCAACTTTCATTGAACACCCTAAGAAATTGGAACTAGTTGTCAAGCGAATATTGAATAATTCAATATGCAGTTCAACCCCTCTATAAAGGACATACACCAGACAGCAGTGCCGTCTTTTATATGAGGTGTGCATTTGCGCATTTTTTTAACAGCTATTTCAATGAAGGCAAACTGGTGTCCCTTATACTCATTTATCTCTTACATCAGTGTCTAATATAAATGGGTTTGACTTCAAAGCATTTGAAGAATTCATATTTCTGTGCAAACCTCTATACTTATTGTTGCTACCACAAGACGATGCAATGTGTCCATGCTAAAAAAAAAAAAAAGCTATCAAGGTCATGACGTGCAGAAACAAAGAGACTTATCTTCGTGCCCCTTTGTCATTTGCCTGCTTGCGCAGTTTTCAGTGTGCTCTCTAATATGAAAAGAGAGAAGGTGCTTAAAGCATTCAGCAAATCTCTATAGGTCTCCTCATACTTGAAATTCTAAAAGCTATTTATAGTACTATCTAGTAAAGGTTAGTTATTTTAGAATTCTAGATAAAAAAATATTCAGATAATTAAAACTTGCTGCTGAGAACTGGGTGTTTATGCCAATAGTAACAACTGAAAAACGCATGGCACGAATAAAAACTGCCTTAGTAGGTATGTAATAAGTAGAGACCGGAATTTTAGGCACGAAAAAAGAATGTTTTGGGTGCTTATAATAGACCCTAAAAACTTCCATTTAGGCATAAATAGGCATTAAAAACTATCATTTAGGCATATATAGGCACAATTCATAATTCAATAGCATGCTCAGGACAAATATTCAACTTTTAACAAACACAGCAGGCAAATTCTGTGCTTTAGGAAAACTGAATTTATATTTGCCATGAAAAGGAATAGCAAGAAGCACAACCATTTGAACAGATTTAGGTGAAAGCTGAGGTAATTTTACATTGTGGGAAAAGCTATAAATGGTTTTCGGCCTTGAATTGTGCTTGCTTTCAGTCAGTATTTGCTTTTATGCGAAAAAGAAGGCTCGACGCCCACTTGCCTTAATTGAAGCATTAAAAGGCCTAGCACTTTTAATGCTTAAATTACACCCAGAATATTTGAATCAGCACCACTCGAAACTTTGCTTTAGCAGTACAATCTAGGATTCTTTCCAAGGCAGATTCAAGCTTTGAGGCAATCCTGTCAGTGACAGGTCTATTGGCGAGGAGGCGAACCTTTCCTGCACGTCCGAAAAAAAAAAAAAGGGTATCCTTAAACTTCCCCTTTAAGCGTTGAACGCGATATTGATCCTGTCCCTGATGTATACTTCCACCACTTAGTGAATACCTTTATTGCATGATGTTACTCGACAAGTTTAAATTGTGGATTACCATACAGTATAATCGACTAAGTCGAAAGTGGCTTTTGTCAGTGAAGCTTTCACATGTGGCTGCATTTTGTGTAATAAATGCATGCGAGTTCACAGATGTTGATATAAAAATAACAAAATGAATCTGTGTGCCCGTGCAATGACCACAAAATACATGTTATTTTGCGCAGATTCAGGGGTTATTTAAATGAATTGGCAGTTCCGTAACCAATTTTGGAAGCTTTATGCCTCTGCGTGCTTCAGAGTGGACATAAAACTTAAAATATTGTTGATCTTTCCAATTTCTTCTCCCCGGCTTCTCACATAGACCTTTTCTCGATTGATGGAGTAGTGCTGTGATCCACTGGTCCATTGCCTGAGAAGGTCATTCTACGGCTCCTCTTTATTCCGCATTACTCGGCAGACTTTGGGCAGCTGCCGTTATGAAAAACATAAATGCCAACAAAACTTATGTGTAGGCTGCAGTCGGCAGTGCTAGGCTAGCTTAGTTTCGGCTGATTAGCGTACATTCTAAATACACTATACTATAGCCTCCCAAATGCAACCGCCGAGCTGCACTACTCTCAAACCAAGCGACGGAAATTTTTTTTTTTGGGGGGGGGGGGGGGGGGTGCTAGCACTATAGGTGCTAGCCTCGCTTTTCCAGCTCACGTAAAAGCGCGTTTAAGTGCGATGTTATCGGAGCGTTAGCAAACATCACACACGTCGGAGCGCATTGGCAGAGTCTAGATATACGTTAGCTGTGGCAGTGCATCGACTTATGATCTGTTTCATCAATATAACTCAGCGTATGCGCGCGTCGACCCTACATCAAACCATAATCGTACGTGACCAGTAGCGAAAAACTAATGAAGAAAAAACAAAAAATAGCGCACTATGCATGTGTTGTCGGCCACACCAAGTGCTTCTTGTTTTCCTCCATATGAAGAGCTCATTTGAACACAACGTTTACTCGGCGAACGTGAAAAGGCATTTTTAGGCACTGAAAAGCTCGTATAGGCACGAACCTCAATATAGGCACTTGTAAGCACAATAAATATACGATTAAAACGTTTCCCATCCCTTAGTTCGTGCTTATATGAAAAATAGGCTCGAAACGGACGCCACGAAAAAAAAAGGCATTTTGTCTAAAGTTCTGGATTTTAGTAATAGGCACAATGCATTTTAATAACTGCAGCATCTCCAAGCGAAATTGAGTTGTTATAAAACCACTACACCCTGCAAAGTTAGTTTTCAAACAAGGCCTACAGGATAAATCATACTACGAAGTCTTGGTTACAACAGCATTTATTCGAGGCAATATTTTGGAAAACAAACGAGCAGAGCCTGCACCCAGTTGAAGATGATGATCACACAGTGGCAATGAGGACCAAGAGACAAGCGGATGATGGTGATGATCATGCAGAGATGAGGACAAAGTAATCAACAAACGCCCACAATACCATTCTGCTAATTTACTCTAGTTCACTTCTGCAGGTATAAAAGACAAGGAAGATATTCATAATTCATGAACAAAATAAGTAGAAAACTCATTTTTGAAGTAGTCTTGAATAAGCAGGCACAGCGAAAAATTTTTGTGGCCATGAATTTGTGCGAAAATGAACTTCGATTGTGAGGTCCTTCAATAATCACTTGAATAAACATGTTGCAGGGGCTTCCTTAATCAGCTAGTAAATGGTACTGTCGTATTATAGTTATCATTGACAGTTAAACAATATTTTTATGACTTCTGCTTATTTAAAAAAAACTGATATTTTAATTTATAAATATTTGGAGAATAAATTAAACATAAAAATAAGTCATGCCTATGAAACTAAAACATTACCATATTTTAATAAACATATTGTTTGGTGCAAAATTTTTTTTCAAGTGGTACGACAGCTTGTGGCTAATTTCAGTTTTACTTGTATCGTTGACTTGTTGAGAAAATTTCATACATGAAAATTTGAATGGAAAACACTTTGATGATTCAGCATACATTTTAGTGCCATATTACGAGTATATTTTTCTTTGAGAAATAAACAGCATGCTTTCCACTACACACTTATCCACTAAGTCATGGACAGAATGTTTACATTAAATCACTGGCACGCTGAAGAGGTGGTGCTGTCAAAGAAATGGAAAGAAAAGCAAGGCATTTTTGAAAAGAGCACTGTAACTGAATTTTACCTACAACTTCTTGCAACTGCATCAGTCTATAATAAATAAAGCAAAATGAGAAAATTGTCTGTTTACTTTTTTTTTTTGTTGCAGTAGAAGGCAAGCACTTTGGTTCTGTAGCTTTCACAGAGCTGTCAAGAGAAGTTTTCAAGAGTATAATAGATCTTCAAGAATTTTTTAAACGAAAGCTGAAATTGTGCTTCTAAACACACAAGGCAAAGCTAGTTCAGACTGAGGTGTGTTCAGGTTCACAAAACTACATTACAACGTTGCAGTAAATTTGACAAATATTTGTTTTATTTTTCAGTTCCTATTGCAAGTGCTGCCATTGCTGCTCTTGGTGCTGGCATTTCCTACTTGCTGCTTCAGGACTGAGATGTTCCACAGCTGAAGTTCATGACGGCTGAATGTCCATTTGTGTTCCATCATCCTTCAAGTGGCTGATGTACAGAATTAAATACTCTCAAAATGTTACCCGTGTACAGCTTGTGAAGACACTGCTGTATCGTTAGGTGCACAGATCCTCAAGACCTTGATAGTCGTGGGATCGAATCCCAGCTGCGGCGGCAAAATTTTCGACGAGGCGAGCATGCTTGAGGCCCGTGTGCTTAGATTTAGGTGCATTTTAATAGAACCCTAGATGGTTGAAGTTTTCGGAACCCTCTACTACGGAGTCTTTCATAATCATACTGTGGTCTTGGAACATGAAACCCCAGATATTAAGACCTGCCAGACGAATTTCATGTTGGTGTCTCTTTCATCGATTTCAATGCTTTAAAGATATTTTGCAATTAGCTGACTGTGCAGGTTGATCTTCTACAAACTCGACATAGAGAAAAAGCACCTTATCACCTTTCTTTGTGATTGAGATGAACATATGTACAGACTACCAATACTGAATTTCTGGCTGATGGCAGCCAGCTTGCCACTTGCATTGGTCTTCATAGAACTCATTATTGGAATCTACATATGCTGGGCTTATGACAACTTCCATTGAGCTCGCACATCACCCTGGCAAGAATGCCATGGTTTGCGATGCCACACAGACTTGCATCGAAGTAAAGAACCATTGCAAGTTTATTCTTAATCATGTTGAACAATATATAAACGCTCCTATAACTTACCTCATTCTCAGTAGTAACAGGCAAGATAATATGAACAAGTTTGCACTTTCTTGTATTTGGGAAGTTACTGTACTTCCATGAGCTTTGCTGTCATTAAGGCAGTCATGAACATTTTCTGGCCAACAGTACACAGGTTAATTCACAGTTGGAGGAAAGATGCAAGAGCCTAGCACCATGCATGGAAAGCAGAAAAAACTAAGTGCATGCATGGAACAACCCTGGGGCAATCCATTCCCCGTGTTGCCTACTATAGCACCATCCTTTCGCTTGGCTCACCAGTGGCTGCATTACCGTAGTCCTACCAGGAAATTGTAAGCAAAGAGCCATGCGAAAATTTAAAGTGCAACTACTTGTAAATCACTGCACCAAAGAATGAGGGCTGTATACCAAGTTAACGAAGATTTAATGCACTACTAGGCTATTCAAGGGAATGTAGTTTCTATATTTTTGTTTCTGAAATACTAAAATATGCTGATCTAATTTTGTATTTCATGTGTGATGTAGCAATATCTCGCTCCACATTTCCGGCCAGATGACAGAACTGTGGAAATGAAGCCACGCAGTGTATGTGCCACCCCTGCATTGTTGCATGCATGCACTTTGTTACAGCAGATTCCTGTGAATTACGCTGTGCGGAGCATAAGCGATATGCCCCCATCCTCCCTCCAACAGCAGACTTACCGGTACATACAGCTGATGTAGCCAGGAATCGCATACAACAGCGCAATGTTCAGTACATACACTACTAGGTCCTCATCACTACTTACTCTAAAGTACTCCAACAGACTTTGTACATTAAAACAGGGGCACCACTGAAATTGAAGCTTCTGTGAAATTATTGCTCACAAATTTCAGTAACATTTATTTTGAAAACACTCATTCCAAAATGATGAGACTAGCTTGTGTTAGCATAAGAACTTTCTTTTGTGCATGTCAAATTCCAGAATGACTGATAATGTCAACAGGCAGTGATGTAGCTAGCTATGTGCATATATGGTTACAAATACTGCTTAATATGCTCGGAAGTTTCCTTCCTATCACAGATAGCTGTAGTAATTGGGATTTTACCCAACTTAAAAAAAGAAAAAGCATGGCTTGATGCTGAAAACAAAACGTCAGTTCACTGATGCCACATCAATGGCAGGCTGAGAGTTCCAGCCATTGTCATCTTAGCCTTCCCAGCTGTTAAAAACAGCAGTGGCCTAGTTTAGTTTCTTGTTGAATGCAGCGAAAATTGGGTTCTCCAAGAGCTGTGTTGCTGTTGGCCGATCATTTGGATTTTCTTGTAGCAAGGAACGAATTACTGGCAGTTCCTTTTCGTTGCGGATCTGCTGGAACAGAGATGAAGCAAAATTATCAGGAGCTTTCAGGATCATGCAAAAGGTATACAAGATTACAGCATCAACAAATTTGTTGTCTAAAAAAAAAAAAAACAAGTTAATATATATATATATAGGCATGCTAAGCATGGAGATGGTTTCAAACATGATTGCATCACAAGAGTGCCCAAGTACCATTCTTAAAGCGCCTCCACTCTAAAATCTGAGACGTCAGCCATTCTATAAAAAAGGTAGCTTCTTATGACGCTGTACTGACAATAAACTAGTGTAAATCAAATGCCTAAGTGGAGAAAACAGCAGCCAGAGGAACAAAATCTAGGAATGTTCTGTCATTTCAATTTTCACCCGCTCCCCTCTTTCTGCCACTGCAGTATGCACCTTCATTTTTCAACAAACTACATTTCTTGACACATAAACTGTTGTCAGACGCATTAAACTACGATACTTGCAGCACTAAATAAAAAGGGAGGGGCGGTGAGCTTGTTTTTTGTTAGTCATAAATCCAACAGATGATTAGGCCACGGAAAGCAAAGGGAGAATTAAAAGTTGTCTTTAACTGTGGTGTATCGTAGAACTTGCGTGTAGTGGCAGCTGCACATACTTCTGTCATGCTGCATGTGAGCATTCGCGAAGTGTACGTGCCGGCGTGCGGCGGTTGATAGGAACAGCAAGAATGACATATTTTCAGGTGTTGTGCTGCCTACACAGAGTAAATTGTGATGCTGAAAAAGGGTTTGCAGAAAACTAACCTTCATATTATTAGATATCTTTGCGGCCAATGAGAAGCAGCCAATTGCTCTGTTGCTTAGGCTATTGCTTACGATTAACGCCATGTTTCGTGTCTTTCTTAATAGATGCCGTATTTGACCGCATTGGTGCTTATCATGAAATTTTTTGTGTCGTACCAGAACGAGAAGGTTTTCGCGCCATAGGCACAAACAGCTTCATATACAAGATTCAGAACTGAATCATTATTACACTGCAATTACAATTACACGTTAGGCAGGCAGCTCGTACACGTCATTAATTCTCGGTGATGTGCTGGAGCGTGTTAGTTTTAATTTTTTTTACTGTGGCATTTTAACACTGTAGCTTTTGGTTGGATGCTTTACTATGCATATTTTTGAAGCATTTCATTTGGTATCGCTGCGAAATTCAGAGAGACGACTTCAATGCTGTGGCACCCCCCTTACCGAAAATTCATGCCACAACAAGAACACATATCAGGTCTTCCAAAAGCTGATGCCGTTTCAGAAATATCGTGTATCCCAACCAACTCTGTGCGTTATGAAATGTTAACAGCTGCTTCAAGTGTGTGGTACTTTTTGTGAGTGAGAAACTGATAAACAAAAATTTGTTCCGAGAAATGTGCTAAGTTCGACTCGGCACGTTACCATGGTTACGCGCTGAGGTAATTTAGCAAGGGATCAATCAGTCTGCAAAGTAAACCTGTCTTACTGCAACGAGTTAAAATTATAAGGTAGGCCCTGAAGGTGAATATTCTTGGAATATGTTATTTAGAAGCACCTTTCAAATAGATATTGCATAAAATGCCAGCAACACTTTTGATGTTCACTTTACATGTGCATGAGAACAGGAACTTCTTTACATCTTAACCGTGCGATAATTTTATACATAACACGTAACTGAGCAAAATATTTTCATAAAAAAAGAGGGAGGGGGAAAGCAAAATACATCAAGTCGACGTAGGCTTTCCCTTAAGGAATACACTCTGAAATGAGGCAACAACACTTTCTCATCGTCATCACTGTCCTCCCAAGCACCCTACACTGCGCGCATGACATTCAGAGAGCTAAGAATGCTTTATTTGCAAGACCGAAAACAAACAGACTGAACTTATAACCTGGCGCAATGTTTCACTATCTTGGACTCGGTGACAAACTTGCACCTTCTTCCCGCTGTGAGGCAGTTCTTTGCACATAACTGTCAACCCAATAATAAGGAAAGGTTGTTAACATGTACACTCAAAGCTCAATATAACAAACCAGGATGTAACGAAATTTTGGCTATAACAAAGTAAATGAAAATTAGTCTTCATAGTAGATATAATATTAGGAATGTACCTTTATAACTAAATTTTAGATATAACGAGCTTATTTTCATTATAATGAGGTTTGAGTGTGTAGGCCTTTACACACCCACCCGACGACTCTATGCCCCGAGTTATTACAATCAATGCAAATACAGTAGACTCTCAGTAAACGAAAATCTGTTATATGGAACTGCTGCTTAAATGGAACAATTGCCTCTATGATTGGTTTCATACTTGTATTGCACACCCCTGTTCACCTCTCAGTAAACAGAATTCCTGTTAAATTGAACATATTTTCCTGGTACCTTCAGGTTTCGTTTAATGAGAGTCTATTGTACAAGCAAGAATTTATAGCAGTGACAGCAACACGATTCGGAAACAAGCCTCTAATATGGCGCCAAATTGGGAACTTCCTCAAACCTCTATCAAATGGCGAAAAATTTGCGTAAGGTCTATTAAAGAGACCCTAAAGGCAAAGGAAAATTTATGTCACAGTGAAAGCTCAATGTATGACGTCTAATACTGCAATATTACCAATAGCATTGCCTTAATTACAATCAAGTTAAGCTAAATGTATCACATGACGTATGCAATGAGAGGGACACTTGCAAAATGATCAGATGATGTGAAAGTGCCTGCCTACAATTAATCACTAGTAATAAAATTAGTTGCAATAAGAAAACTTCTCATGCATCAAGAGACATAATAAAATGCTGCTTGTACGTTTCTGTTTTATTTATAGAAAGAGGGGAAAAAAACCCGGCTTTACTATGGGGGATGGCGCGAGTAGTTCAAAAGTTCAGATTTTGGGTGGTTAGGTGGTGCCATCTAGCAGGGCCCAGTTGAACTGAACAAGCAGAGTCATGGCCTCCGAGATGGTAGGAAATCGTTCAATGGCCGTTGTTGCTACTGTGGCTCCCGCTATTTTTGATCCGCTGCTACTAGTGTTGGCGGCCGCGTAGTTTGGCACGAAAACGATGACATGCACGTAAGAGTCCGCTGTTATGCACAAATTATTTGAAGTGCACTAACGTGATGCGAACCATTAAAACATCATTTCAAAATAAGCACTTCCTTGGCACAAAACTAGCACTACGAGGTTTATGGTCCGCCATTTCAACAATTAACGTCGACTTAATATTTGCCTTTAGTATCCCTTCAAGCAATGCTTTTCCCACTTACAGATTTCAGTGGTGACAATGGCACACTTAACGAAAAACTCAGTGCTAGTCAGGGTACAGAAATGCATCATCACACACTCATTTATATGCAATATTTTCCAATAAATGATGCTTTCTTGATTGTGAACTTTGCAGCAATCAGTTGTGTCAGATATGGCAATTTAATCTTTTATTGAGGTCACTTGTCAATAAACGTCGCCCTATTTCGTTGTTGCCTTTTACTGTTTCACACGACTGCCGTTGCCTGCAGCAATGGAAGTGTTGCACTGCTAAGCATGTGAATGAAGCTTCGATTCCTAGTACAGAGGAAAGAAAAAAATATATATGTGTATATATGAGGGAGCATTGCACAATGTGATAAAAAGAAAAAAAAGTCAGGCATGTGCAAAGCTTCGCTTGGGTCTATTTTTACAGTCTACTGTCCTTTCAAATTCCATTCCACCTCGTCGAAAAAACAGCAGAGTATCGGTGGTTAACAGGGCTAGGATTGTGAACGTCTACAGGCATAGCAGCGACCTAAAGCAACTGGCCGACGCTTTAGGCATCAACATTAAAACAGCAAGATTTATTGCCACTACCAACAGAGAAACATCAAAGCATGGCAGGGGTTCAAATAGGAAGTTTGGAGATGACGTCGCGAGTACTTCGAGACGAATTGTCGACAAAAACTGTACATTTACATTAAAGCAGATAAAGGAGGCCCTGGAGGAAGAAATGCCAGAAGGAACAATCAGTGCAAGCACAGTCGATCGCTTTCTGGGTGCCCATTGCTACTCGATGAAGGTAGTGACGCAGAGGCCCACAGATCGCAACCGTGACGATATCAAGCATAGCCGCATGCTGTACCCCCAATGGCTGCAGTCTGATGGAACGCGTGTTTGCCGCTTTTATTTGGATGAGACTAACTTCAATATCTGGTATTCCAGGAACTTCGGCAGGGCAGCTAAAGGACAACCAGCTGTGCACATGACCACAACAACAAAGGGAGCGAACTTGAACATTATGGCATGCATGTCCGCCAACGTAGTTATGCACTGGACTGTGGTGGACAAAGTTCATTGGGTTGTTTTTAATGATTTCCTCAGTGATGTTTCGGCCTGTGTAGAACATGGTGAGCCAAATACCGAAGCTGTATTCCTTTTTGATAACACACCTGCTCACGCTCGAGCAGAACAGGCGGCTTTGGCTAATTCCCTGCACTCTATTAAGTGCCTGCCAGCGTACAGTCCCTTCTTTAACCATATAAAAAAAGCCGCAAAATTCAAGTCGCACGTGAACGCCTACCTGAGCGAACATTGTAATTTAGTTGTAGTGACACCGCAAGGCATGACGAAAAACTCCCAAGCATTTCCCCGAGGGTGAACATGGTTAAGTGCGAATGCACAGGGTGATGCTATGAGGGGGAGTAATGTTAAAATCTGTTGGCATTCGCCAGTGAGTTAACGTAAACTCCCCTGTGTGATCACATTGCGATTCCCAGGAACCATTAGACCCTTTTATAAAATCTTGGTGAGTTTACGTTTGCAGGCTGCTTCGCCCGCTTGCGCTCGGCATCACGGGCTCTTCGCCGTGCTGCCTTGTCTTCAACCGGCGCGACATCTTCAACGACACATGCAATGCTCGCATTCGATTGCGTTGTACTCATTGTTCGAGGTATTGCAGTCTAAATTGATGCCTGCGATGGATCTATACCTATGACGACTTGCCGATCTCGAGCAAGTTGTGGCGGCGCGCGCAGCCACGGAGTGGAGGGCAGA